CTTTTAAATTGTTTAGTTCTTAAAAATAAATGTGTGCAAAAGATAAAACATTCAAACAGTGGAAGACTGGATACAATGAATAGCAACCCCCCTTTCCTCCCCTGATCCCCGTTCTTCCCAGAGGCAACACTATTACTATTTTCTTTTGTACTCTTCCAGGGAAATCCAGGTATTTATCACCATGCATGTACATAATGTCCTTGCCCCATTTTGTGCACAAATGATAGTAGCACTTTACACTCTCTATCATCTACCTAGCTTTTGTCATACCATATATTCTGGTGACTATTCCATAACAGAACATTCAGGATTCCTTTCAGTGGCTTGCTTGTATTCCACCGGATGCAAAGGACTGGAAGCCAGAAGCCCTGGGCTCTGGTTCTTGGTTCTTGATTGTTGCTTCCTAGTAGAGTGGACTTAGAAGGTCATTTCCCTCCTCTGAAACTCAGGATCATCATCTATCTGTAAAGTGAACTGGCTCATCTATAAAGATGACTGAGATTGCTTTTGACTTTAACATTGTAAGTTCTTTGCTCTTGTCACACACGTTACAAAGTCTGTGGGGAGGAGGCCCAATATTCCCCATAAAGCTCTGATCATTATCCAATTTTAAAGGTTTTAAATTTATGTTGCATCAAGGTAGTTAATGTACACCCAATAAGAAGTCATATATTTCTAAAAGGATAATGAAAAGCAACAGTTCCTTGTTTCAGTCCCTCCCAAGACCCAAACAGGTCACCAGTTTGAACTCTTTTAGCTGTTTCTCACAGTATTTGCTATCATCTTTCAAAATAACATGTCTATGATTTTGTCATTTTTAGATATATTTACGTATTGCCCTGGAAAATGAAGATTCAGATGCTTTTCATTACCTCTCTCACACACATTTCCCCCGTCCTTCATTTCCCTAATGTATAATTTTAACGCATTTTTGGTTACATCCATTTTCAGTTGTTTTTTTAACAGATTTTTATTAAAATATAACTAACATACAATAGTATATTAGTTACAGGTGGACACTACAGTTATTCAACATTTATGTACCTAAAGAAGTGATCACCATGATAAGTCCAGCAACCATCTGACACTGCACCACGCTATCACAATATCATTGACTATATTTCCCATGCTGTACATTGCATTCCCGTGACTTATTTGTTTTATATCTGGAAATTTGAACCTCTTATTCCCCTTTACCTTTTCCCCCCTTTAAAAAATTTTCAATTACAGTGGATATTCAATCTTATTTTATATTAATTTCAGGGGTACAGCGTAGTGGTTAGACATCTATATAATTTAAGAAGTGATCCCCCTGACTAGTACCCATCTAGCACTATACATAGTTATTACAATATTATTGACTATATTCATTATACTACATCCTACATCTCCCTTTTTTCACCTATCCCCCCCACCCAACTCCCTCCCATCTGGCAACCATCAAAATGTTCTCTTTATCTATGAGTTTGTTTCTGTTTTGTTTTTTTTTAATGTCTATTTTGTCTTGTATAAGTACTGCTACCCCAACTTTTTTGTTTTGTTTCCATTTTCATGAAATATCCTTTTTTCATCCCTTTACCTTCAGTCTCTGTGTATCTTTTGAGCTGAAGTGAGTCTTTTGTAGGCAGCTTATGTAGGGTTATGTTTTCTTATCTAGTCAGCCACCCTATCTTTTGATTGGAGCATTTAATCCATTTACATTTAAGTAATTGTTGATAGGTATGTAGTTATTGCCATTTTATTATTCATATTTTTTCTTTAATCTAAAGAATTCCCTCCAACATTCCTTGTAATACTGGTTTGGTGGTGATGAACTCCTTTAGCTTTTTCTTGTCTGAGAAGCTCTTTACCTGTCTTTCAATTCTAAAAGATAACTTTGCTAGATAGAGTAATCTTGGTTGTAGTTCCGTGCTTTTCATCCCTTTGAATATTTCTTGCCAATTCCTTCTGGCCTACAAAGTTTGTTGAGAAATCAGCTGACAGTCTCATGGAGGCTCCTTTGTAGGTAACTAATGGCTTTTTTTCTTGCTGCTTTTAAGATTCTCTCTTTGTCTTTAACCTTGACATTTTAATTATAATGTGTCTTGGTGTGGGCCTGTTTGGGTTCATCTTGTTTGGGACTCGCTGCACTTCCTGGGCTTGTATATCTATTTCCTTCATCAGATTAGGAAAGTTTTCTTTCATTGTTTCTTCAAATAGGTTTTCAGTTCCTTGCTCTCTCTTTTCTCCTGGTACTTCTATGATCCGAATGTTGGTAAACTTGATGTTGTCCCAGAGGCCTCTTAAACTATCTTTTTTTTTGGATTCTGTTTTCTATTTGCTGTTCTGTTTGGGTATTTTTGGCTACCTTACCTTCTAAATCACTGATTCGATTGTCTGCTTCATCTACTCTACCTTTGATTCCCTCTAATATACAGAGGGTACCAAAAAATGTATACACATTTTAAGAAAGGAAAACTATTAAAATTGTAATACTCAATATATACCGATAACAAAAGATAAATATAAGTCATGTTTGACTTATTCAATTACAAGAGGTGCTCAAAGTGGTTACCATCAGCATCCAGACACTTCTGATTATGGTGAACTACTGCTCAAGCAACGTTGACCAAAATGTCCACTTGTATACATTTTTTGGGCACTCCCAGTATTGTTCATTTTAGTTATTGTATTCTTTATTTCTGACTGGTTCTTTTTTAGTCTCCATAACTTCATATGCGAATTCTTTATAATAAATCTCTCTGTACATACACAGTCACATGCCATTTAATAACATTTCAGTCAGTGACAGACCACATATAAGATAGTAGCCCCATAAAGTTACATATATATAAAGTTTGCTGCAAAACGGTATGTTATGTTACACCAGCAGTAGCCTCATAGTGTGGTCCCATTTTTATAAAATAAACAGGAACATATGCAAATCTGTGTATACATGTATATCTCTATATATGTATGCTTATGAATATTTGAGAAGGTTGGTAAGTGGAAGGGATACATACTTGGTTGGTAAGAGGGTGGGTGGGTGAATAATGTGGGTAGAAATAAGGAGAACAGTGGGACAGGGACTCAAGCAAACAAGGAAAAAAAATAAAACCTGGACTTAAAAAATATGATCACATTTATGCACTTATATAAAATGAGTATCTGTGAAAATAATTTTTAAAATCATCTCAAATATAAAAAAGGAAATTAGGGGCCGGCGGAGTGGCGCGTAGGTTAGGAGTTGGCTCAGGACACCAGCTCTGAGCAGCAGGGCCACGGGTTCGGATCCCACATGAGGGCCAGTGACGCTGTGCCCTCTACAGTTAAGATGGTGAACAACAGCTTGAAGAACCTGGAGCTAGGCTGCCGTGAGTCGCTGGCGATGGCGTAGGCTGCAGTGGGGCTGGTCGGCAGGGGGTGTGAGCTTTCGTGAGCTGCCGTGAGCCGCCGTCCAGTGGCCGGCGAGTGACTGCCTCACCCAGGAAGAGCGCAATGATAATACCAACATGGGCCAGTGAAGTGACATCCTCCACAACTAGACTGAAGAATAAAAGGACAGCAACTTGTCTGTTTCCCTTTCCCGATACTCCAACGCTGTTCCCCTCCCCCAAGTCCCCAATAAAATCTTTAAAAAAAAAAAAAGGAAAATATTTTATTCAGTTACCTAAAACCTTTCAATGATTTGCTATTGTACTTTAAGTAAAATCCAAACTCTTTACTATGACCTGTGTAATCTGGTCCTTGTCTACCTCTCCAACCTTATGTCTTATGATTTTTCCTTCCCTATATAAGTCTCTTTCTGGACTCAAGGCCTTTGCAATTGCAGCTTCCTTTGTCTGAAATACCACAGGTCTTTGCATGACTGGCTTCCTCTCATCTGGGAAGCCACAGATGCCTACCCAATTGCCATCTTCTCCTTGCTCCTCACTAATAATAGAACACTGATTTCATTGGGAGAGCAATATATCCATTTAAAATAACTTTCTTTTGGCTAGCAGTGATACAGTTCTTCCAAATAGGATATAAGTATAAGTTACTGGGCATGACCTCCTGGGAAGCTTTTTAAAAGAGCAAAACCAGCTGCATCTTCTGCCTTCCCCGACCCTTTCTACATTTTCTTGCCATGAAAATGGTTGTGAGGTTATAGCCAAGGTTCTCAAAGTGTGGCTCCCAGATCAGCAGTCTCAGCATCATCTTGGAACTTGTTATAAATGCAAATGACCATGCCCCTTTCCAGATCCACCAAATCAGAAACTCTGAGGCTAGGGCCCAACAATCTGTGTTTCAATAAACTCTTCAGATGATTCTTATGCATGCTGAAATTTGAGAGCCATTGAATTAGAGGATAGAAGCCCTTTTAGAGACGGCCAAGAAGATGGATGAAGACCCGTGCACCTGTGACATCATATAGCCACTGCACCAGACTTGGACTGCCTCCTCTGGACTTGGCAATTGTGTAAAAAAGTAATCGGTATTTGGTTAAGCTACTGTGAGTAGATTTCTGTTACATACAATTGAATGCAATTCTAATTGATAAATCCTCTTTTAAATCTCAGCTCAAACATTATCTCTTTAGCAAGGCCTTCCCTGACTACTCTGTTTATACCCTCCATCCCCACCAAAGTCCTTCTCCACCATCCCATCCTATTTGTTCCCCTTATAGTACTCTGAACACCCTGAAATTATCTCACTTGTTTACTGTTTATTTGCTTATGGCTGTTTCCAATTTAAGAACGTAAGCTTCACAGGGATAAGAGCTTTGGTTTTTCACTGCTGTACTCCAGCACTTTCTGAAGTGTGGTACATTACAAATGCTCTGTAATTATTTGGGGAATGATTTAAAGAACTATAAATATATGTTACATTGAAAATAATGTATTTTTAAAACAGTCAAAAGAAAAACAGTCCATTGCAGACAATTACAATTTTCAGGAAAAAATTTTAGTTGAGAAACCATATAGCACACACATTTAAAATGCATACAACACAGAAAAGTCCTCTGTGCCTGTCTATGAACACGTACTACCATGCTCTTAAGTGGCCTATTAATTCTATAACCATAAAAAACTAAAAAATAGCTATGTAAACACTCAAGAGTGCCACATAAATGAACTGCATAAATGCATCCATTTCTTTGGTGACCTCGTCTTTCCATAGATATCATTTTGTGCTACCCCAATAAATGTGGGAGGCTTGTTAATAACAAAACTTCATATATCATTTAAACACAAGCATTGAAATAAAAACAAAAATTTCGATTAGTTTTCTTATGCATTCCAGAAGACACAAACAATTAGGTTTTAACCTTGGAGAAAAAAACATTCTCTTCACCCACATCCCTACTTTTTTACTTTTCTAGTAATCTCAAGTTTGGTCCAAGAGCAACATCACTGCAAATAAATAAGTTCTTCTCTGCCACCAGCCTATGCAGGCATTGTGGGGAGATTGAGGGGTCTTTGAGGATGAATTTGAGGACATTGCTCTCTGCTTGTGGGAGTGACCCAAGAATCCCCTGTGCTCTTGCAATGTGAGAGGTGAATTTTCTTTCTCTTACCTTTACCTTATATAAAAACTACTCTCATCAAGTTTTGGAAATATGTATCCTTTAATTTTTAAAAAATAAGTTGTTATATTTAAGTAAACTGTATAAATAGTTTTCTCAATGAAGCACAGAACAATAAAAAAATTCAAGTACAGTGCTTCCTACTTAGATCTCTGTCCACTTTTTCTTGAGGGGCTCCTAGAATCTAGAAGGGGCCTCCATGGGGCCACCACCGGGAAAGGAAAGCAGCAGGAAAGTGCCAGAGGCAGAACAGGGAGCTGTTCACTAAGGGAAAAAGGAGCCCTGAAATTTGGTAAGACCATCTTCTCCCTCTCTCACAACAGAATCAGGAAAGCATATTAGAGTTTCCTGGGAGTCCCCTACAAATCAAACACTTGGAGCTGAAAGGACTTCACGTCAGTAGCACCCCAAGTAAAAACTTTTGAGAAGCCCCTAGAAGGTGAACTCAGCCCTCAACCCAACATAGCAGATTTTCCTATTGTTTTTAACCAGTGAAATTCTCTTTTATCTTATGAAAGGCAATGACCTTAGGGTTTCGATTTGAATAAATTCTGTCTGGAATTGTGTCAGAACCAGCATCAAACATACCAGCCTCACTTTAGTAATTACAGCATAAGGCAGGGTTCTCATCCTTAGCAGGTCATCAGAATTACTTGGAGAGCTTGTTTAAATACAGTGGGTTCTGGAGCTCCATCCCAGAGTTTCTGAATCAGTGGGTCTTGGGTTGTGGGAAACTGCATTTTCAGCAGGGCTCTCCAGGTGATTTTGATGGAGGTGGCACAAGGCACACAATTTGAGTAACACTGGCTTTAGAGGGAGAGGCCAGAATTGATTCTTTCTCAGAACAAGACCTAGTGTAGACAGTGACCCGAGGCGGCTAGGCTTCCTGAAGGGTCCTCCTTGAAAAGGTCTCTGGTAAGAAGGTCATCTACATTCATCCTCAAAGACTCAAGGAGTGAGTGAACCAGAAACTTGGCTCACTCTTGGCTGGACTTGAGGATAAGCAGCAAAATCCCAAAGCACCAGAAAAACTCTGGTTGTTTCTTGTCTGGGGACCCATAGTGCAATCTTTTCCTTTCCCCTTCTTCCTTTCACTGTTGTCGAGCTAAGGAAGCCAAATAAACCCACACAGATAATACGTTGTTTGGGTATGGGTGAATGTACACAGCTAGAGCGAATTCTGTCTGGGGAAATTCAGAAGTATGAATTCCAGTTTGATACACGGCATCGATAACTGACTGTACATCAGTGTATGGCATCTGAATAGGAAATCCTGCAACCTGGACCAAAAGACAGAATAACATGTAAACCCACATTACAATCTTGTCAGTAACTGGGAATTAGTGTATACAAAAAAACTACAGAAGCCTCAAAGAAATGGTAGTCATAAAATAATAATAGTTACTTTGTAGTTGCTTACTACGTTCTAGGTACAGTGTTAAATGCTTTATATATACATATTTAATCCTAAAACAACTCTATGAGGTTAGCTTCTATTATAATCCCAACTTTACACAGTGAGGAGCAGAACCAGGTTGTCTGATGCCAAGAGCCTACACATTTAACATTCCATATACTTGCACCCTTTCTAGAATAGCAAACTGCCAACAAGGAAGTTACTTGGTCTTACAAATGAGGGATTTAAATGAACGTTTGGAAGAATTTATTTAATATTGATTCAGTTTATATTTATTACGTGATCATTGTGAGACAGGGTTGAAGGATTATGCAACATGGGCCTATGTAAAATTCTCTATTTAAGAATACACAGGCAACAAATCATAAACCTCTTTCAGGACTCAGACTGTTCACTTCAGGAGGCTTTTCCTAATCCTTAAATCTGTTCATGTGCTCGTCTCACGTGGTTGCATAGTACACTGTCCTTCCCTAGCTTACTTAATAAAACATGTTGCAATTACACGTGTTCTGGTCTGTCTCTCTAACAGCCCATAGTCTCTGTGAATGCACAATACTGTATCTGTCCTGTTTACTGTCATAACCTCAGTGTCGTGTAACAGGCACACAGAATACAAATAATAGTTAACATTTACTAAACACTTGCTAAATGCTGGGTGCTAGGATAAATATTAGCTCATTTAATCCTCACCACAACCACCAAACAGATAACTGTTTTATCCCTGTTTATCTTGCCTAATGGGGTAGAAAGTACAGAGAAGTTAGGTAACTTGGTCAAAGCAAATGAGTGGCTGAGACAGGATTTGAACTCAAAGCTGCAGGATTTAGTGCAAGTTTATGATTGTGCATTATTAAATAGACAATTTTGCAAAGGGACTCCAAGGTTTAAATCTTGGCTCATATTTAACTATGTTTTCCGTATCTGTTTACCCCTAATTCTGTTAAAAAGAAAGTAAATCAAAACAACTTCTTCCCTATTCATGAATGAATAGTGCCAGCAGATCCCTCTCCCACAGCCTATGTACACAACTACCAGCAGGTTCCTTCCTTTCTTCTCTCTGAGGGCTTCCCTAGTCTATGAGATGGGAGGGGGACGGAATCTCACCCCTGGGAGGCTGGGGCTTTCAAACACTCACTGGACCCATTCACAGGGAGAAGGAGGTAAGAGGGTTCCCAGAAGTGGGGGTAGGATAGGGGAAGAAAAGGAGGACCCTAACAATATACCAAATGCCCACCTAGTTTGGTTATGGATTTGATGAGTTTGATATGCCTTTTTAGCATCCAGGATGATGTCAAATGTGTGGTGAATATATAAGAGAAGAGGTAAGCAGAGAAGCTGAGGATGGATGTATAAATTTGAGAGTAATTTGCATATAGAAGATATTAAAGCTTGCCTAGAGTCCTCTTGCCCAGAACGAAGGACAGGAAATCCATTCTATTACAACCATCTAGAGACCATTGTTTAGTTTCTCAGTTATAGGTGATTTCTTTTGGGGCATCTCTTTCCAAAGTTTGTGGTATATACATCATAAAACATACACCTGATTCCAAGAAAATGTCATACAATGTGGTTATGGTAGTAGCTGTTTACCACATTTTAAATTTCTCAGTCTGTAAATAAATGCATTTTAATGCCATAGCATCTATCATCGAGGAGCAAGATAAAAGGCATTTCTGGGATATTTAAGATTGCTATTATCTAGCAATTAACAACATAGATAAAACAAATGTCATTGATGCATTAAATCATATACAAACCCAATAAAATTGTTGCAGTCTTTCAAATTCATTCTCTGCTTCAGATAAAACAAAGCTTCCAGTGCCAAGTTCTAGCTTAGGAAGAAGTTGTCGCAAAATAAAAGTACACTGTCGATTCCAACGTGTCGGCTGCTTAGATCGCCATTCCATAATTTTACATTTCAGAGTCCTTTCAATCCTACAGTAAGATTATTTTTATGACAAATGACAGCTCACTTAATAAATGTGAAGAGTTTTGTCACATTAACTCAAGCATGAGAATGACACTTTTTTGATTTAGAAGGAAACCGGACCGCTATGACTAGGGATACCTGACCTCATTCACATTAATCCAGTTTGAGGGAAAGGCTCTTGCTTGACTTGAGAAAGCAAGAAGCTTCCCGGGGTAGCCAGCAATTAGATCGCAAAGGCACATCTCTTTTCCAGTTACATGTGAAGGCTGCTGCCTACTGGGTGTGATTTCACACCTACTGTGTGACTGCTGGGTTGACATTTCTGTTCTTCAAAACCCTCCTTTCACACAAGACATTGGGCTTCCAAGAGGTTGCCTTTACAAAAATACAGACCAGGTATCTGGTCTGGGATAATGTTAGCAGGGATGGGTTTATTAGATCAGTTAATTCAGCAAGCAGAGTTGGGAAGAAATGAGGCACTGGACTGACAAGTATGATGATCAGTTTCGCCTACCAGATTGTACACTCCACAAGGGCAGGGATTTTTGCCTGTGTACCCAGTCCCTAAAATACTACCTGGTGATGACCTGTTCTGAGGAGGGAGGGAAGTGGAGCACAGTGTGAGTTGGTTGAGGGGGCCCTCCTGGGAAGCCTGTCCTCTGTGCGAATCAGTGTGTGCTGTACAGGAAGCCGCTGGGGGTCCCCCTTGGCTGAGTCTATAGTGTAAGTAGTTGGGAATTTGCAGAGTCTCAGCAGTCACTACGCATCAGAATTACCTTTCTGTTTCACCTCCAGATATCGATTCAACAGGTCTGGCTCCTGTATATTTAAATAGTTCAGGAAGCAATTCTGATGAAAACCAGAAGTTGGAAACCATGTCCCAACTTTACTTCTTCCTTTTTTGTTAAGAATTGGGGAGAAGGAGGGGACTAAAAGGTGGGGGTTATGTGCTAGTGAAAGAAGGAAGTGGCAAAATGACTTTTGTCGTGCTCTGTTTTGATTAATTGGATAGTGGTTTACACGTCAGTCTGCTGTCAGCAGGAGGCACCGGAGGCAGTCAGATCTAGAAGCTTCTGACATGTCTGGAGTAGGAGTGATAGGAAGGACAGTGTTAATGTTTCTATCACCCAACTTGGACATTTTTACCAAGTTGTGGGCCATTTACCTTCATATCCTTTCAAGAAGTTTTAGCTACTGCATGATTATTATAACTATGGCCTAAACAGGTGTCTGTGTTGAGAACTTCCCAACAGTAGCCCACTGTGTTTTCTAGAGCAACCATTCTTAACTTGGCCTGTCTTTTCAAGGAGTGTCCTGGATGGCAGAGAAGTTGCTTTGCAATGCATGCATCAAGAGAAAGATGACTCACTGGAAGTAATGAGGTGTTATAATCCCCATTTCATGTTGCTGTTGCTGAATCTAATAGGTATTTTGAGACTGGGTTAGAGGACTGAAACATGGCTGTATGAGAGATTAGGGAGAAAACACAGTAATCATGAAATAATTTTATAAATCATACCTGTTCTTTAGATCTTCTACCATGCTTTTGTTAGTATCAGAATAAATGATTTCTTCAGGCTGAAATATAGAAAACTGAAAATTAGAAAAGATTCTAGGGAGGCCATATTTACATCACAGTCACCCCTGGAGTGATACTTATAACGAGGGGGAACCGAAACCTGTCTCACGTGGCAAAAACACTGAATCACAGAGGCACAAAGGTAAAATATAGATCCCAGTGTTTCCTTTGAATTTAATACTACTTCACCACAGCATGGGAGGAGAAATGGATTTCAAAAGGTATTTTTCACAAGCTGCCCCCAATTTATTTATTCATGCAAGCATTTGACATGCTATTGATTCTGCCAGATAATCTTCAGCAGCTGCACAGGTCTCTTCCACTCATTAACTGTGGCCTTGGTGAAGTTACTTAACCTCTCTGAGTCTCAGTTACCACATTTTTAAAAGAGGGACAATAATAGTACCTACTTCTTTGGGGTTTTGTGAAAATTTTAAAATGAAATAATACACGTAAAGCCTGGCACATATGGCTCCATAAACATCAGATATTGTTATTATTACTCTTTTAACATGATTTATCATCTTCCTTCCTTTATTGAGTATTCGTTTCTTTCAGCCAGGTCTTTGTCTTTGTGTACACACGTATGTACACACACACACACACACACAGTGCGTTGATTGCAATCTCCCCTGTCCCCAAGCCTTTGCCCCAGGCACCGCCCCCCCGCCCCCAAGAGCAGGGAACAATGCTCTACCATGTGTCTCCCCACAAGCAGGATTTCCTGGGAGGAGGGGAGGACTTCTGCCTAGCCCTACTCCAAACCCAGCCCTCTCCTCCCTGTAGGGGTCACACAAACATGAATGAGGAGCTGGATTTAGAGTTTTTACTTTGGTTATTTCTGAGCTGAGAAACAGAGGCAGCTGGAGAGATAGGAACAGATGTTTCACCCTCATGGGTGGAATGAGGGTTGTGATTTAAAAAGGGGGCAACATTTGTTAGGCTGCGAGGTCCTAGACAATTTCAGGAGTGATTTCAGAAGGCTCGGTCTGTCAGGTGAGGATCTAAATCAGTGGTTCCCAAAGTGTGGCCTCCAGATCAGCAATCTCAGACCTGGAAGTTTATTAGAGATGCAGATTCTCAGCCCCTACCTCAGACCCACTGAATCAGAAGCCCTGGGGGTAAGGCCCAGTACTCTGTTTCAACAAGCTGTCCAGGTGGTTCTGATGTCTGCCATGGTTGGAGAACCACTAGATTAGGGAATAGGGTCAGGAACAGGGAGTTTCCCACAGTAGAACATGACAGATACTAGAGACAGGAAATACTGGAAAAAGGAAATATGGGCTCCAGCATCATCTCGCAGGCGCCACCAACTATCCCAGACAGGACAGATAGACTGAGTTTCCTGACTGCTGTCACCCACCACTGTCTGCCCCTCCAAACCACCACCCTCCCCCAACCCCTTCCCTCCTCTTTCCCAACCCCCCTCGCCCCCCAGTCCAGGCAACTCTTGTGGATTAGTTAGGCCACCTTCAGGCCTGAAATAGAGGCCTGGGTTACACCGACTTGATAAATTTGTGGGGTGTTAATCCACTTTCCTTTTCTGGCAAAGGCCCCTTTCTTTCAGGGAACGCATATCCTTTAAAACTTTAAGCGGGCTTCCCTGTTAACTCATCTCAGCATCCCCACATTCTCATTATACACACTCAAATTTGTGTTCTCAATTGTTATAACAAAAAAAGCATTCACTATGGATGGCGGTTATTCTGGTATGTGTGTGGCACAGTGGAAGATCAAGGGCCATTAACCAACCCATACAAAAGAAATTAGTAGGGATACAAGTCAAATGCAACTATGAGTTTTATACTTCAGATTTCACCTGGCAAAAGGTTTAGATTCCACCCTCAGCCAGAGTGGCTTTTAGAACCACAGTTTTGGTCATAGCAGGTGAAGCTAGCTTCTGACTGCCCTGAGGATAAAGGCCCAAATCCTTACCAGGACTCTGCTCACCCTGGAGCTCATCGCCGCTCACTCCTTGGCAACAGCCAAGCTGGCCTTCCAGCTCCTTGACGGACATCCCCTTGCCATTGCAGGTCCTCGCGCCTGCTGCTCCTGCTCTCTGCCAGGACCATTCTTCTCCCTGATCTTACGGTAGGCCAGCTCCTGCTCACCCCACCTCACTGTGCTGGTCACCCCTTTTTTCCAGGAAACTGCTGCAGTGCCCCTTCCCCTCAGGTCCTCCTGCTGTGTGCCCCCAAAGCACATTCATTTCTTCTGTGATAGCACTTATCACTCTGTACTACAAGTGTGTGTTTCCTGCTGTTTCCTTCTCTAGGACGCGAGCCCCAAGAATACTGAGACATGTATTTTTCCTTGTGGTGCCCATACCTAACAGTGCTGGCTCATAGCCGGCACTCAATAAACATCACATGAATGAATCATAGGATGATTCATAGTAAACAAAAACCCTCATCTCTAAATACATCATTCTCTCCCTCGGAGGCAGCAATGCTTCACTCACAGCTTTGGGATGGAAAAAGCAAGACATGGCCTGTGGATGCTGTAAATGTGGTTTGCTCAAGAGAGATAAGCACATTTTCCCTTCTTTAAAATGACTTCACAAACAGGAAACATAAAGAAATATATATGCATATACTTAAGTATATGTATACATAAGTATTATGTAAATATATAAAGCATATAAATAGATGCTTGCAGCTGCATGGAGAATGTTTAGAAGGATGCACAGCGGTTATTTCTTAGAGATTGGGAAAAAGATGTGGAAGAGGAGAGAAACTCTGTGCACACTTTGATGCTGTTTGATTCCCGCCCCCGCCCCCCACAACCACCATGCATTCTTTTTGACATTGTGAACAGCCTCAAATATACAGACAAGCATAGAGAATAATGTAATGAACAGCCACCCAACACACCTACCACCTAGCTATATCTAGTCTTTGCATTCTTTCTGAATTCACATGTGTTTCACAGCAGAAAAAACTATTTCCAAGAGTTATACTGAAGCAGAATCTCCAAACTGCATATGCAGAATTACTATTCTGTGCACTTTTCTGTATGTATATTGTACTTAAATAAAACTTACATTACATTTCAGATGAGACCTTTTCCTCAATTCCTCTTTTCTGTAAGGGATCAGAGGAGCCCAAACTTGGGCTGGATGGCAGAAAAACTAGATTTTGTTAATATTGCCAAAAAAGTCAATAAGCAATCAGCCATATAAACGTAACAAGAGCTGTCACAACTGGTAAAGATTAGAACCAATGGTAACTTTCATACTGACACACCTGCAAAAATATGACTTACCTGTATGCTTTGTGCTTGTGTCCCTTGAAAATTTTTTGGAAGCATCTGTTTCCAGAAACCTTCCTTTGAATAGTCAAAATGTACAGCCATTGGTGTATTGTTTTGTTGAATATTAAACCAGACCTATAAAAACATTAACATAAAATCAATCTAGGCCCATAGGAGCCCAAAACCCATAGCTGGTTAGGATGAAGCAAATGTTACAGTCCTACTACCCAATGAAGTGGCAGAAGCCAAGGAGGGTTCTGAAGTAGGAGGTAGAGAGATTCCAGGCATAGGTGAACATTATACTGCTTACTGGTTCTCATCCTTAGAGGTACTACAGAATCACCTTTGGGGGAAGGGGTCTTTAGGAATAAAAGATTTCCCTGGCCCCCACACCCCAGGGATTCTAATTGAACGTTTACATTTTCTTCAAAGTTCCCCACATGATTCTAATGTATGTAGCTAGGGTGGAGAATCACTGCTTTGACTCTTGAGGAGATAGCTCAAAATAAGATCCACACTCCCCGCCGCCCCCCACCCCCCCACAATATACTTACATTTCCATCATCAAACAAACAGTCTACACTTTGTAAAGGACAAAATGTGTCAAACTGCTTATGACATTGCCCAGTTAATGGATTCCAAAGCACATATTCATCAGTTTCTTGAGTTAATACATAGGCCACATGCCCCTGTATGAGAAGGAGTTACAGTCATTTTGGGTAGATGATTGATTGACTTAACACATTTTTGTATGTGAAAATTACAATGTAAGCATGTGATATCTTTGGGACCTTCTTTAGGACCTTTAACATTTTTTGGAGGGGAAAAAAGCCGGTGCTCTAGAAATCATTAGGCCCAGGCTAGAATGAGGATGCAAATGAGAGAATTTTTAAGCCAGTCCTGTCATGTATGGCCCTGCAGGGTGTGCCCTCATGGCAGTAAAATACATTATTCTAACAAAATCAGTACATTATGACAATTTCCCTACAGCTAGGCCTAAAGTGTTTTGAGGTAGGGGCACTTTTACCTAATTCACACAGTGGTGCCATTGGGACTAGCCCTGCTCTGAGTAGATTATATTCAGGAGACTGACAGTGAACACCACACAGAGTTAGGGAATTGAAACTTGCCTAGGGCCGGCCGAGTGGCGCGTTAGTTAAGAGCTGGCTTGGGATGCCAGAGGGCCCCGGTTCGGATCCCACATATGAGGGCCAGTGACACTGCCCTCTACAGCTAAGATGCTGAACAACAG